TACACCTTAAGCCACTTGGAGTAAACACTTTGTGAAGGTGGAGGTATGAAGCAATATCCTGTGTTGCAGTGAGCAGAATACATCAAATTAAGTGAATAAGGCAGCTACCTTTCTCTCCTTTGGTACAATTACGATCCTCTGCTGTCTTCCCTGAACCTCCATTGTCAGGCATAAATAAGGTTGATCATCATAGATTGCTTGACGGTTTTCTTTCGCCCTCCTTACCGCCAGTAATGACAAATTCTCACAAGTATATATAGTTAAAACCGAATTCCCGGACTTCTAGAAGAATTGCTTTTTACTTGAGGAACCACAGCAACATTTACAGAGTTCCTTTCATTAGAATGTAGTGGAGTTATATCCATCTGAGGACGCGTGTAGAAAAGCTATATAGTTCCAACACTATCATTAGTGATCCAGAATAGGCAACTGTCAGATTTGTGTCGGCAGGTGAATGCGACTGTCACAAAACACTGGCCATATAGCAGAAGGGTAGGCCGTTTAAAGCAATACAGATGCACTTATTAAGTCATCGATCCTTTTGAGGCAATCTAGAGACGCTTAGCTTCAAAACGTTCCTTCAAACCGAATGCGATATCATGTGGACGAAGTTCACGCATGATAGGTATGACGTTCTTTAGTCCACGTATATGCATTTGAGAATACTAACCGCAGTTGTGTTACCTACATCTCACACTTAATTCATGTTAAGAAGTACTTACATTCGCAATAGCTGCACTGTAAGGATCCCAGATTGATGTACACACAACTCCTAGTAATTTGCGCTTATTCTTCTATTTCCTCAGCAGAAGAGGAATTATAGATGGCTGAATGCGCAGTGTTCACCAAAAGTATGAGAGGTTTTATAATGAGAAACAGGCGCAAATGTACAAAAATTTAAGAATAATAGTGCAGTACAAAAGGTATTCACGTAATGGGACAGAGCGAAATAGTATCAATGGATTTAAATAATTCAGTTAATATTGCGAATGATTGCATCTAACACCCGGTTGATTCACAGAAATTAATTTAATATTACATTTCAGTCAACTGTTGTAGTTTCTCGTGATGCTGTTCTTCACAAGAGGTGAAGGCGCCTGCGAAATGAACACCGTAATTGTATTGTCATCTCGGCTCTATATGTTCAACTTTATCCAAATTCATGGGGCAATTTTTATTATAACTGTTGATTAACATAGTGAGACACTCTAAATGGAAAAAAGCATTACGTGGAACTCTTAGACACTTGCCAACAAAAAAGAACATCAAAACAATATACTACTGATCTCAGTTATCTACGTGACATACATAGTCTGATTACTTCATGATGAGGGAACTTACCTTACCAGTTAATACGTCATGACTCTCCCTTGAATGACAAGCACGCGGCTTATTTTCCGATTAAATTAATTGTCGTAGAGGACAAATGTGGGATGCCTATGCATGTGATATTTCCAATACAAAATGCAGGTAAAATGGTACGAGATCAGAGAAAGGAAAAATTGAGTGCATATTATTTTCAGATTCGTGACAATGTAATGCGAGTGTTAATATGATATAAATATAAATAAGTTGTAAAAGTAGTGAAAAATTGTTTTGTAGAGTTGAAAACAATCAATAATTACGCTGTTCAAGTTTCGTCTTTCAGTACAAGTGACAACGCTATTGCGGAACTTACTTCAACGAAATAATGACTTGTTAAGTGATCCACAAGGATTTTGTACTTCTTCTGGCTTGCCACAGTGACACACAGCAGACTCGAAATTCTGTTCGTGATTCACAAGTTTTTTCAGTCGCTTATGTCAACTCCTGACTCTGTCGTTTGTGTGATTATCTAAAGTTCTTTAGACACCAGGCAAGAAAATGTTCACTTATCTCCCACTAACATTCAATAATCATGTAGGTATTGATGAGATCTGAAATACATTGGATGAAAGCGATTCCGATAGTAATTAGAGGTGATTAAATGTCAAGTATATGTTTCGCATAACTCACACGGCCTCACTGCGAACACTCTTATTAATGCATTTATAAAAGTGCAGTAGACATTTACAATGGGAAACAATCCATTAGTCTCAATTCATCTAGTATCCCCTATGAGTACCTCGAAATGTATTACACTACAAGACTTCATGCTAAGGCACTGTAAAGATACTGTGCGAAAAACTGCAGCCACCCACAATGCGATAGTGAAGCTGTAATAAGAAACTTGATGGAAATAAAACCAATAAAGTGCTACACCCAAAAACAGGAGTTTATAGATTGTGCGTTGCAGAGCCGAGAAGGCTTGAATATGAAGAGGACCAAAGAAGTTGGTCATGTCAGTTAAACCTCGGTCGTTTTACAGTCAACGATCAATCTGTCTATCAGTGTGGAGTGAAAGTCATGGTGGTCAATATGATTTTAGAGAGATAAGAGCTCATTAGTGGCGTTGCGGTGTGATTGTGCATCTCTATAATTCATTCCTATCACCGCTAATAAAACACCCTTCAGCAGCTGTGAGAGCTGTATTCTCCCTTGGCTGGTTGGGGCGGTGTTAGGAACAACCTGGTCACCAGGTTAGGTGGGTCATGCTAAAGAGTCAGTAAATAGTATGACCAGAGTTCAGACCAAACCGGATAGTTGGCCACACAATAATCGTGTTATTTCCAGGAGACAGCTGCAATAGAGCCTGAAGTCATTCAATAAGCGCAGCTAATTTGTTTCGCAGAATTGGAGCTTTCAGCATGATAGGGACGTGGTTACCCTGAAAATCAGTAACCTCTCAGGAGCTCTTTATGCCTTATGACTTTTAGGGCTCTAGTCTCTTAATTATGACGATCTTGGAGTTCGAACATAACTGTGACCATGAACGTATTAAGGTCTTTGGATAAATGGACTTACCATTGTTACATCGCCACAATGAAGGAATTGAGGTGTGAATTTTACCCCTGTCTAGTCTTTTAGGTTAGGACTTGGGTGAAGATTTAAAGTGAGGCTGGGGTTAAGGTTAAGATAAGTTTGAGGGTTATGATTAGGGTTTGAGATAGCAAAAAGAACTCATCTGCTCAATGTCAGTCTTGAGTCCCCATTCTACAGATCGTGATGGTCTTAATTTGCCCACTTTCTTGTCTTTGATGAGATTTTCAGCTTCACTTGACCACTACTGTGCTTCCTTAAATAAAGGTTTGGAATCATATTTGGTCTTGTGCAATATTATAAGCTGGCGACCGGTAATCTGAGTGATTATTTCGCCTTAACGGTCGGTTTCTATAGATTCATCAGCACACAGATATGATGGTTTCTTTAAAACTTAGGCCATTACTAACTGTATCTGTCTGCTTAATTTACCTACAGAAAAACGATTGTATATATTTTCCACTTGCTCCCTCATTTGCTAAAACGTTCCCGAACATTTCTTCAGGAATTTTGGCCAGGTAATCTATTCAAATGCCATCTCCAAATAATGGCACTCCTCAAATGCTCTGAGTAGATTGGGTAGTCCACAGACGGTCATTTTATAGTCCGGTATGTTGACGTAACGCCGTTTAGACTGTATTTTTCGGTCATCCATGAGAAACCCACTTATTTGACCAAACAGTGGATTCTAGAGCTGATGAGGTGAACTTAATAAATTTTAAGTCGTCCCACACAGCAATTGGGAAATGGTCTTGCAATATCGTCTGACAACATAGATCTCTTACGAACTAACTGCTTGCTTGAGAAGCGACCCCGTGAATTTTAAAGTGTTCTTTCAGGACAATGAATGGCAAGGGTGGGCTAGCTGCTTCAAAAGGAGATCCCGAAATATTCATGAAACCTAGGTATCCAGTAACCTCACATTTGAATTAAAATGATTTTAGAAATCAATATATGAAAAAACGATTGAGACAATCGAAAAATGTTTTTAAAAATCTACAGATAGTAGATGGGAAATGATGGGCAGTCAAAAATTTATAGCAGATACCTTATTTAAAACGTTGTTTGTTAGTTTTACACACAATATACAATATACACACATACACACAATATACAATACAATTTTTTTTTCCTTCACGTTCCCCAGTGGAACATAGGGCTTCAGAGCTAGTGGCTTGAAGTTTCTGTAGCAGTGTTTATTTCACAGGATGGGGTTGCTAGCCTCATGCCTAACCTTTCCTCTTCACCAGCATTATTTCTGGCATAGCGAGGTAAAGGAGTGCGTCGGCCGGGGATCGAACCTCGGACCATGTGGATGGTCGGCGAGCGTCCTAACCGCCATGCCACCGACGCACTATACAATACAATATATACACAATATACACTTATAATGATAGGCGATAAATTGTCCGTAAAAGTATAATTTAGCTAACCTGTATCTGCGGTTTCCTAAGTCCCAGATAACTCCAACTCTCATACTAGGAAGCAGTTAGACCAGCAGACAGCTAAAATTCACAACATTTAATCTTTTCTTGATGTGAAATACAAAACAAACAACAAAAGTAATGACCATCCTGTAATGATTCTGGTTCGTGTAAAAGTCGTTCTTCATTATCGTTTTCCCTCTTTGCAACGGAGATCATGTTCGCTAATTTGGAACGTCTGTTCTTTATATTGGGGAACCAACTGACTTAACACTTGACTTGTGTTACTGTATTCAGACGATATAAGACACATAAAAATTTAGTAGCATATTAAATGGAATGAAAGCATTAAGCACCCTGAAGATTTAACTCAGACACATGAAGTTTCTTTATATAAGTATAAAACTTGGGCACTGTGGGAGAGTGTAACTCCATTAAGGACAAGATTTTACTTTGATAAATCATAGTGTTATACAGAACCAAAATAAAATCTTATCCGTAATGGACGTGAAGTTTCTAATGATATTAGGAGCTTTGGATGAAGTGAACCAAATGAAAATAGATTAAACTGGTAAAATCGCAAATATTCAATCTGTTAAAGCTGCTGATGTGTCTCTGTGAGGATTAGGGTAATTATAATAATATGACAGTCATTTATTCAATGTCAATTCCAATCGCGAGGAAGTACCGCTGGATTTAAAGTGGTTCAAGGCTTTGTCGCATTGTAATGACTCTTATTGAGTGTGAGTGCATTTCAAAGTTTCAAATCTCGCGTTTACTTTCTTGGTGCTGTTTTTCATGTATTAATATCTATCGCAATATTTGTTATCTGTTCCTTAGTTATGGAATTCGACTTTTGAGATATGTCATTCTAAATGGTCAAAAGTGTGAATTTTCATTTTGAAGCTCTGTTTGAATGTGTATGATTGTTTTCTGTAGTTATGATTTAAAACCAGTGACATAAGAATAAGGTACTTCATTTTTCTCAGCTTGTTGAATATGAATCACTTGCCTACTTTAGTGATTTTCTAGCTGGCTGCCACATGGAAATTTTAACAACAAACACCGTGGTTACTTTGATGCCACGAACCATTTCTTCCCCATGAATACTGGAATCACTTTAAAGAATAGGAATATTGAGATCCTAGTTGCTATCTCGTTAAAAATCATTCATTATCAAGCGTGATATGGTAGCCCTTAATAGTTGTTCCTCGAAGGATGGAACTTTGACCACATCACTGCAGCCGATCAGCGGGTGCTTTACGTATAGAGGGGAAGTATTTTCTGGATATTTAGTGTTTCATAAAACCTTGTGGCCATCATCCTGTGTAGTTTCTATGTATTCATGTTACACTATTGTCTTGAATACTTTATTGTCTATAGTATCATGAAGTGTATTTAGAGTAAGGGGCTAATATGGTCCCTAGTTCCGAAACTGAAATCTTAGCATAGTTTAATTTTGCGGTAATGTGTGTTGTGTCGTAGGTAGTCTGTCGTATATAGTAGTGATCAACAAGAACGTTGTGACTTAATGCGTCCATAACTTGTTATAGAGATTACGTAAAGATGGCAGCAAAGCAGTACTACACTGATCTTCATGTGTCTAAGTTTCATCACTCTACCTAATCTGTTTATGAGGCCTCGTAGACAAAAGCAAGCTGCTTGTAGGATTTGGCTTAACTGAACACCCGAACATGTTTGTTACTGACAATTATTGCAAAGTGAAATGTATTTTTTAAGCTTTAGGAAGTCCACTGTATTCCTTTTGGAATTTAAAAATGCAAATTAGCCTGACTTGTACATGAGCTGTTTAAAATCCTTGGTATTACGTTTGCTTATGTTGTAATATATTTAGGCTTAGTTTTTAGGTAACTGGTTGCAAATGTTAACCGGTATTTCAGATTGTCTTCTTCTCCTTATGAGTCTTCATATGGTTGAATGTTTAATTGTGGAGCATTCATTTACTTACTGACTAGTTCTCAACGTAAGTCTCAATGCTGCACCTTATGTAACACGCATAAAGATTGAGAACTATAATGAACTAACGGAATAAAGAATACATGGCGAGGCATGAAGATTTAGTAAATGTGGGAGATTACGAAAAGTGAATACATCTGCACCACTAGAAACCATTTCGCGCTATGTCACCAACAGTCTATGGCCATTGTTTCGTAACGTCTTGAAAACTCCAACCAGGCACTCTACTCCTCCGTTCGTCATAATTCATGGGTTGGTGTCGTGCTTCTGTCAGACTACCCCTAACTCTTCCAATAAAACTCTGAATCAACCAACATTTCGTGACAAAGGAGGTGGTAGTTTGATATGCGCAGCACATTTATTCGCTATTTCAATCGATATAGTTTCGCAACCTGCTACGAAGATGAAAACCGATACTCCTCGAAACCCGGATGTGCCGAAGAAACAACTGATTGTAGATGTGAAACTCAAGGTAGATACTATTAGTAAGGTTCTCTGAAGCCGCCTGTTGAGGGCGATTCGAAGAATGTTTATGTCTCACCTCATGTGTTCTTATTCACCAAAACGTCAAAGTCAAGATCCCTCTGTTAGCAACGTCAGTGTGTATTCACCAATTCACCTGCTCCCGTAGAGCCAAGAATACAGGTCGTACCAGCAGGGTATCGTCTAGACGTGCTCATGAAAACTTACCAGTATGGCAGTCAAAAGAACGTATAACAGTCAACAGCTCACTTCTGGAGGGTATTATTACTTCTGGTCATGCAGCATCAGCACAGACTTCTTCCAAGGCCATATGTTATCTTCGACCAATTCTCAAGTATTGGTTTTGTAGGGATTTTGTTTGATTGGATGGAGGATTTCATCATGAGCTGACATCAGTTAGAGAACCACTGGAAAACCTGGGAGTACTCGACAGCTGTTTCGTCAGCCTAGTTTGAGACTCTTCAGCAGTACGCACCCACCGGGGTTCGAACATCGGACCTTCTGGTTACAAGGCGAGCTCGTAGGCCATTGAGCCACTGGGACCCGATCCAATGACGCAATTCGTTTGAGATTTCACCTACATTTTCATACAATCGAAGCCTGAGCAATTCCTTAGGAGTAACATGAACCTTGTATTCGGAAATGCTTTATCCAACCTCTTTTACTACTATAGCCTTAGTACTATCTTTTCTTTTTTCTTCCCTCTTAACCTTCCTGAATAACTGTGTAATTAGCTCTATATAGTGTGTTTTATGTTTGTGCTTCATGGAAAATAACCATGGAGACATGAATTTGTCCCCCCAGTTACACTTTGATTATTCATCACATTTTTTAAACATCATGAAAACGTAAACAATAAATTTAATTATTGATGTAAAGACAGAACTTTGACACTGTGGTAGAGTATAACTCCATTATGGATAAAATTTTATTTTGATTAAGTCACAGTGTTACACAGTTATATTTACTGATGACGTTTCGAGCACAATTTATTGCTCATAGTCATATCAAGATACACAAAAATAAATATATGTAATTGCAATTGTACAGCTAAGTGAATGAATTCGCCGGAAAGAGAATCTTCGCTGAACTGTTTGCTCTTATGTTTATGTTTTTGCAACTCTTTTTTCAGTCTTTTGTTCTCTTTTCTCTTATCAGCTATATACAATTCATTGCTAATCACTCAACTAATTAGTTGTCTACCCCGTTGATTACGTAAGACTGTTCTTGGTTTTTCAAACAGTTACTACTTATGTACTTTGATTTGATTTGTTACTAAGTGATAACCGTTGACCCCTGTTGTCAATCTACACTACATATTTAAACCCTTAAATAGCTGCACAGCTCTGAGTTGGAGTTACGAAAAGAGATCTGTTTACTGACTCATTATCTATCTAACACTACACCTAGCCTTTACATTACTCACCATATCATACCACTTGAAACGGAAGATAATTTGTTTACATGCAGCCAGTCTACCTCAAAGTTGTCACCAAATATGGTCCTGTGGTCAACAAACGGCGACTGCTGTTAGCCCTTAAATGAAGCCTGGAGCGAGTCACGTTTTAGCGGGTTTAATGGGAGTGATCAGGCAAAATGTACCATCCATCCGTGAAATTCCTGACTATTGCTTTGTGTCTTGTAGAAAAGTGTCGAGTCTGGTGTGCTAAGAATAAACAGATGACGCAATCATTCTCGTTGGCACCTATGTATTCACTTTTTGTAACCACTTGGATTCTGAAAATCGTAACTAGTTTTTATCAATCTATTCATTACTGTACTGAATAATCATTCGGTGACCTGTTTCGCCGAAGCACGTTGTGATGGTAGCGAGCAAATAGCAGTATAATTTCATCATAATAACTTAGAATAAGAAGTTTGAGAAACATGAAAACTTGGCTGTTTTCAGTTTAATTGGTATAAACTGGTTATCTGTTTTGTTTCACTCGTTTATAAAGGAGAGCCGTAAACCGTTGTATATCGGTTCAATCTCACCCACATTGTGCTACTGGAGTATTGGAAAGTCAAAAATCAGACCAGAGGTACAACTTGAGCGGTCTTAACCACTGGAAAAGATCCTATATCGACATCATAAACATAAAAAGTAGCATACCACGGAAGTGTAAGTCCTTAAGTTGCTGTACTTACAAACTCCGTATAAATAAGAGCAGATCGTGAGTGAAAGAGGGTATCTACGTAGACGTTATTACCAATATCGTAAACTGTTGATAAGTACATTCATCCATTGATATAAGTATAAAAATTGGGCATTGTGGTAGAGTGTAACTCCATTATGGATAAGATTTTATTTTGATAAATCACACAGTGTTATATAGTAATATTAACTGATGACGTTTCGAGCACAAACTATTGCTCTCCATCTATGAAGATTTGGGTAGCCAAATATTGTGTCATAATATGCGGTGCATTCTCAGATGCGTGTTAATTTGGATGGTTGTCAAATAAAGCTTGACAAATTGCACATCAGTTATATAATATTCTATTTTAGTCCTGATATATCACTTAATTTCCTTTATATTACAGCTTTATTACCTGGACTACATTCATTTTTGGCTGTGGATTTAAATAGTATTCAATTACCTTCGAGCATTGAACAAAAACGTCGACGATTTCTTGAACGTATCGAAGTTCTTAGTTTGGGATCTATACCACCACCACCCGAAAGTCACATGAACACAAGCACGTCTGCAACTAATCTCACTTATCCTAAGAATAATTATGATAGTATTAATAATAATAATAATAACAACAATCATGTTACGGTTTTATCAAAAAAACCGCTGAGCAGTATTGCTCGTTTCTTTTCAAATAAACGTTATTCTCTTCCGCCAACAATTAATTAGTAAGCCTAAATAATGTTCATTTATTTATTTATAAAAAGATTTTTTCATGATATTGGCCACTATGTTTATTTATCCACTTATTACAATTTAGGTAACCGTTTTATTATAATAAAAGTTTTCAGTAACTCCCGGTGAGTGAAAAAACGATACTGTTGCTATTACTGACGTTTCGCCATTTAATATTGCTGGCGAGACTCTCGTCATGGCTTCAGGAAAGTATGAGGTACTTAGGATGTACTATCAATGTGGAATAAAGCCATTATCGTCCCCATCTTTAAAAAGAGTTGACGTAACATGTGACAACCATAGGGGTATCAGTATACTACCAGTTGCGTCTAAAATATTGGCTGCTGTCTCGCTTCGCAGGCTGTGCAAAACACGTGAAGGATTGATTCGCTAAGAGCAGGCTGGGTTTCTTTCAGGCAGTGGATGCTTTGATCATGTGTTCACCCCTCGTCAGTCGTTGGAACACCGCCACACGAATTGCAGGCTAACAACTGTTGTGTTTCTAGATATTAGGGCTGCCTTCGATTCGTCGGATAAAACTGTGCTCCGGAACTGTCTGCTAGAGAGGGGCGTATCTGAGAACTTTGTGAACATCCTGAAAGCTCTATACAGAAACACTTCAGGTAGAGTGAGGGCATACAACCAACAATCATCACAGTTTCTAAACAACACTTGGGTTAAATAGGGTTACCCAATCTCCCTATTCCTCTTTAACTTTGCCATCGGTGACATTCTGGAGTCAGCTCTGAAGGACGTGCGTGAAGGTGTCGTAGATCTGTCCCTGGAGAGAGACTTTTCGACCTCGAGTATGCAGACGATATCGTCTTACTGTGCGACAGCATGCAGGCTGCCCAAATCACACTTAATCAGTTGGTGATCAGTGTCTGGAAGCATGGTATGTACTTTGCACCGTCTACTTTTACCAAGAAACACCACTAACATATTTCTGTTTCCACTGGAAATACTTTTTACAAAAGATAACTAAATGAATTCTGTCGTGGTTGGTGTTCAAAATTCGAATCTTGTTGTTTATGCTGAGTGCGGCAGATTTCCATACTGATTTCAAGGTGATGAAGGTCTGTTTCGCTTTTACGATCCTGTCCAGCTTTGACCTCATCTGTGCAACCCGCAGTTGTACGGATGTTGCCTAGATAAGTGATAGAAGTGACCTCGTTCAAATTTCCTCCACTCACAGTCATTGGTGCTAGTTGTTCTTATTGGTTAGTTATTTCAATCACCTCCGTTTTCACTATGTTCACTTGAAGTCCTATCTCTGCTGCTGCTTCTCCTACCAGTTTATTGGTTTTCACCTGTAAGTCTTCCAGTTTGTGCGATATTAGACATAAATCATCCGCAAAGTCCAGATCATTTAGAGCCTTGTCGGGCCAACCTACGCCTATCTCCTCGCTCCCCATGCGCCGTCTTCCGCATGATCCAGTTCACCATAATTAGGAATATCACCGTGGGTGATAGTAGGCAGCCAGCCATGTCTTACTCCAGTATTCACTTCAAACGCCTTACTGAGTTTTTCTTTGAGGATCCCCTGACACGTGGCATTGTCATTTAGCCAGCTGTTAAATGAAATTGATAAAGACATGGGGACCGTACGCCATAGTGTTGAGGTAGTTTCCAAACTGCTTCGCGGACAACTCTGTCGAAAGCCTTTTCACAGTTGATGAAGTTGAGGTGGAAATTTGACTGCCATTCTATTCTCTGTTCGAAGATGATGCATAGAGTTACTGTTTGATCAGCAGATGATTTGCTTTTCCTGAATCCCACCCGTTCAGACCAGTCTTCTGCATCCAGTGCATCCTTTTAACATCTTCAGGATGACGCCACTTAATACTTTACTTGGCGTGGAGAAAAGCATTATTCCACGCCAGTTCTTGTAGAGGCATAAGTCGCCCTTCTTTTGTAGCTTGACAAGCTTGCTTTCCTTCCAATCGGGGAGCATCTTTCCCTCCTTTCTTCCTTCCTTCCTCCCAAACCTTTTGCAATTATAGCGGTGAGCACATTTTCTGCAGTCTCTGTGTCTGTTTTCAGTGCTTCGGGGGGAATTCTGTTTGGCCCTGCTGCCCTCTCAGCTGCTTCATCACATTCAAGACTTCTGCTTTCGTTTGAAGATCGCTGTCCACTGGCAGTTCTGTGCGCGCTGATGATGGTACTTCCCGGTGACTCTCAGGGTAATGATAGATTCAACAGTCCTTTGAAGTGACCAGCCCCCTTTTTTCGCTGCATCTCTTTGGTAATTAATTAGGTTCCCTTAACCACCCTTTACTGGTTTCATCTGTGTTGATCTATTCCCGAATAGAGACCTGGTTAACTGATATAATGCTCTAAGCTCTCTTTCACCTGTGGACAGCCTGTTCTGCTTCAGTTGCCAGTCAATGTGTCGTAGAATTGTCCTTTGTCTCTCCTAGCACTCTTCTTCACTTCTTTATTCGGTGCAGTGTACATTGAACTCAGCTTCTCCTCCTGTTGTCCATCACTGCATTGAGTCACTTTCTCTTTCACAATCCTCTTCTCTTCTATTAGCTCCAAAGTGTCCACCGAGAGCCATTTCTTTCTTCCTAAAACGGCTGTGCACACGTTTTCTTGAACATCACCTTCACAGAGTTCCAATGTTCTTCCACACACGTTTCCTCACTCATGCTACGTGATGTTTCCGACTTATCTCTGATGGCTGCAGTGAAGTTGTCCTTTGTAGTTTCTTCTTTCAGTTTCAGGATGTTGAACTTGGATTGTGGTCTGTCTGCAGTTTATTTGATGGCTTTCAGCTTCGCCATGAAGGTTCCTTGAACTAGATGATGGTCTGAGCCCACATCCCGCTCCCTCTTCTTGACTTTGTGTCCAGCAGATCCCGTCTTCACTTTCCTGAGAATGAAGAATGAAGTGATGTCTATCTGGTTTTGATGTACCCGTCAGGCGAAATCCATGTTGCCTTGTATATATCTCTGTGCCTGGATGTACACGCTACCTCCAATCACCAAATCATTGAAGGCACAGAAGTCTGTGAAGAGTTCTCCGTTCTTGTTCATTTCGCCGAACGAAAGCCTCTCGACCCATGAAGAATTCTCTTCCTGTATTTTCTGCTCCTAGTTTAACATTCACATCGCCTATTAGGATTTTTATGTCTCCACTTGCGATGTTGTCCATTACTGTTTGCAGTTGTCTATAGAAATCTTCCTTCTCCTCTTGTTCCGCCTTGTTTGGAGGTGCGTAGTACTGCATGATAATTGTAACCTTCCTTTCGTGCTGTCATAATCCTGCAGGAGGAGATTGGTCCCCACTGCATAAGAGCTTTGGCTGTTGTTGGTGACATCATGGTAGCCACTCATTGCCTCAGTGTGCTCGTGGTTGTCGTCTGGGTGACCGGAGTAGATTACTGAATCTCCAGTTGACAATTTTGACAGTCCACGCCCACTCCACCTGCTCTCGCAGATTCCCAGCACTTCTATTCCATATCTTCTCATTTCTTTGGCTACCTGGGCAGCCTTTCCAGCTTCGTGCATTGCACGAGCATTCCACGTCCTCATTCTTATTTTTGATTTTATCTAGAGAAAACACATCAGCTGGCTGACTGGCTTCCCGAAGGCTTTCACCAGCCCGCTGTGTCATTTCGCTTCTCCGATTCCAGCGAATGATAAGTCTGTTTTTCATATATTTTTTGTATTTTTAATATTTTTCTTGTGCGTTGAAGTTTCTATAGCAGTTTGTTTGGTTTTGTGGGGTAGAGTTGCTAGCTTCAAGCCCAACCCTCCATCCTCACCCGGGCTTAGGACTGGCTAGATAACTAGCCAACCAGTAAACTGGGCGAGGTTATATACGCATATATATTCTAGCTGAAGGAGTACAACATGTTACTGAACTACTGTTTAAATAAATATTTCCAAATTGCAGCTTGCACGTATTCCTGTACTCGAACGACATATCAACATACTTTCTACCATCTGTCTCTATTCTTGGTTCGATATTTGTCAGTGGAGTGTGTATTTATTTACAGAAATAAAGTGATCGACATACCATTCCTAGTCTACTTCCTACTTGTTCATTTGACTGACATTAAAGAATTATCTTTCGTACATATTTAATTTTCTAAAACAAGTTTCACTGATTATTGAAACGTGGATTTTCCAAAAGAAACTGATTTCCCACCAACTGAATTCACAGAAGTAATGAAATATTCGTGAAGACCGGATCGATTTTCTAACTAGGTGTGACAATGGTTTCAGTGCTTTTTGTCATTTATTTGGCAGGCTGTTTTATAATCAGCAATATGTCTAATCATTCGGGCCCTGTCTTCTTTAGCACCTGATTGATGTTAACAGATTAATACAGTTGACGTGGGTGTATAGAGAGTAAACATTGTGCTTATGCATGTAGTTTTTAGATTTCTGTTCTTCATTTATGTTAATGAAATCTGACTATTTTGGAAATGTGTAGTTTAAAAGAAGATCCTATAATCTAAGAGTTTTTCCTGTTGTCTTTTTCCCGTCCATAGTATTACTCATTTCATTAGGAAGTTTATTTTATTGGTAAGCATAATTTATGATTCATTCTGTATTTTGTCTCTGTCCGCCTACTAGTTATATTATTATTGCAATTGCTAATGTGTATCGCTGTTATCTCTCCGTGATCGAACTTGAAACAAGTCAGATCCCTACAAAATGACTCTTAGAAATACAACTTAAAAAAATAATGAATATCATTTCCATATATATATATATATATGTGGATCGATATGGCGTGACGACAAGTAGTTATCAAGTCCAAAGAGCCAGTGTATATAGTAGAAAATAAGTGAGTGATAATTGCCTAAAGTAATTTAGAGCAAAAAGCGGTAATATTTATAAAGTATGCATAACATTGGAGTTGTTGTGGTAAATATAATGAAAAATCATGCACAACCACACAGTTTGACATTAAAGAATACTTAAATGAAAGGAAACTTTTACAACTTTTCAAATTAAAAGACTTAAAGAATCTTTGAAAA